ATGAGGCAAGGATAATAGGATATAAACATTTTAAGAGAACACTTACCTGAGACGGTACCTGTCGTTACAAGAATTCGACTCGTTGGAGGGCATGACGCTGGAGAGAGCGACGTCATGATGCCTCTCCGCATTGCCCACGTTACGTAAACGATTGGAGAGTGCATCTTGAGAAACACTACCTGGCAGCAAATCTGTGCACACATTTTGTCCATTTCGCATTTATTTCGTGGACACCTCGATCCAACAAGAGAACAAAGTTAGGTGTTTGTGGTCTTTGGCCGAAATAGAGGTCCACACCAGCATGTGTTCCCATGCGCTGCAAGAACCCCTCCGACCGACAATTGACGTCCACGGCCTTGCGGGTAGGAGGGCATCCATGATGTGATCTACGGCCAGTCCTTTGGCCCGTGACCTCTAATTAAGAGGACAACAGGCCTTCGAGTCAGTCTCTTGATCTTTGATCCCGAGGGCCCCTCCGGTCGCTCTTCGGACCTGCTAAAACAAAGCCCGTGACCGACTTGGGGCCGCTAGCCGACACATAACCCCCTGTTAGGCACTGTGGGCTCCTAGCCGACGCAGAGGCCCACACCATTGTTTCAGGGTCCCAGGCCAGTGCACATCGTGGCCCCGACCTGGTTCCTGTTTGGAAAATGGAGCCCCAGGGCTCAGACTGACAAAGAGCCAACTGTTTATTGTTCGTGGTCTCAGGCTGTCTTAGACACCCGCATCGCCTCAGTGGGTCTGCACACGGCGCCAGAGGGCCTCTGGCTCAACGGTGAAAAGGCTTCTGGTTTACCGGATATGATCGGTGACAAAATCTGACACTTTTGCGAGCCAGTTGGTGACAAAATTGCGAAAATGAAAGCAAACCTTGCCAGATAAGATCAGATTACACGTCATTTCAGCCCGACGAAACTCAAAGCTTAGTATTTGTCTGTGCTCGCTAACGCTTGCAGCGTGAGGACAAGTCGAAACATTGACGCTTCGCTGTATGCGCAAGTTGAGCCATCGGATACTGACAAAAGTAGTAGCTTTAATCAGGATGATTTTTAGCAGGTGACAAAAATATACTACAAACTACTATATCGCGCTGACCTCACAGATCGGTGTTGACACAGTGCTTTTCGAATGCCGCTTAGATCAGTGCTTTTTACGGATTTTTTCAGCCAAGATTCAATTCACGTACTATACAGTATAGAATACTAAATAACCAGGCTTATTACTAGCAAAAATCGCGGTTGGCCACAGCATCTTGCGCCAAATGTGAGCAGGCTGCTACGCAGCGTTTTAAAGCGTCGTGCCATTTGAGACACCGGCTTAATTGCTCGCCACACGGTAATGCTTTGGGTGTAGTGCAAGGCTGTGGGCTGCTCTTGGTTGTGTTCATATCGTGAGAAACTGACTGGCTGGAAGGACGTAGCTAGTCGTCAGTTTTTCAAGATATTAATAGCGTCAAAAAGCCCTGCCGATCTAGGTTTGTTGTTTAACGGAGGCCGTTGGAGCGACGCCTGCCAATAATTCATCCCAGGCTTCCATGATTCTGAGAGGAACAGCGGCTTTGAGGTAAAAGACCGAGCATCGCTGGTGTATGCTTCTGACTTACCCATTGCACCTCAGGCCTAGCGTCTGTGGACAGGCGTGAAATAAAACGCTTTTAGGTGTCATCATATTGCATATAAAGCTAAATGATGGTGCCAGAGGTGTTCAAGAATGTTGTTTCGATCTGTTGATACCAATATTGTATGAATTTTCCTCCACATAATTTGGTTCATGTTAGCAAGCGCGAGTTCTGCGCCGGCAATAACTATTTCAAGATAGTGCACATCGCCAACGTCCTCCAGCGCACTGTGCGAAGACGTCGCGAAAGCAAAGTTTATATTGTTTTAGTTGTTTGTAGAACCATGTTATCGGCAAATGTAGAGCCACAGGGATGCAGTTTTGCGAAATGCGTAAGGCCGAAAGATTGAAGGGGGGGGGGGGGGTATGCAGGAAGAAAAATGGCTGAGCCTTCCTCCGAAATGCACATAAAACAGTTTTCTCTCCAGATTTGGCGCAGTTTTCACAGCTGGCAGCAGGAGTGTTGTTTTTCAAAATTAGTTTTTGGGGGCCGAACCCCGAAATTATGATAGCTGAAAAGAATGGATTAAAAATGAAATATATATATATATATATATATATATATATATTTATATATTTATTTATAATAAAATTAGGAAATATAATAGAAATAGGAAACTGCTTCACTGGTGAGGAGGCACAGTCCCACCGCCTCCAACTGAATAGGAAACTGCATGCCTTTTGGCTGGTGATGTTAAGTATGCCTTTATCTCGTAATTATGTTAGGTTTGTCTCAACCATCACTCAGTGCCTGATGGCCAGCAAATGAAGCTTAAGTGCAAATGAACTCCCGAAACAAGAATGTGTAAAGGTCACGCTGCATTGCATTTGATTTGTCTTTGCTTTTTGTGGTATAGTGCATTTATAAATGTATTGAAACGGTTGCTGAAAGATCTGACTGCAGGGAAGAATTCAGACGGTTCCAAATTTCGTCGGTGACAGGAAAGATACTTTTACCCCCGCTCTGAATGATATTTCAGGCCACGACAATACCAGCTGTGATCCTTTATATGATCTACAGCCAGTCTTTCGGGTCCTTGCGCCCTCCAACCGAGTCCTTGATCGTCGATTCTGGTGGGTCGCCCGGGCTCCTCTTCGGGCCTCATTGAACACTGCCCTTGGTTGGTTCGGGCCCCTTGCGAACAAAGGGCCCTCTGTCGGCACCGTTGCCCTTAACTGATATAGGGGCCCAACCGGCGTAAATCACTGACCCCGGTTTCATGGCCGATTTGGAAGTGGACCCTCAGGCCCATGCCGACACAGAGCCGACTGTGCGGTGCTGGTGGTGCCTGACCGACATGCAGGCCCATATCGACATAGACAAGAGAATAGGGCCCGCCATTCAAATAAGAAGTACCCAAGACACAACGTGGAGGGCCCTCGAACGACTGAATGTGCCTGAGCAGGTTAACAAATGGGGCCCTCGACAAGAGCATGAGGCCCTCCATTCAAATGAGAAACACACACGGCGCAGTTTAGAGGGCCTCTGCACGATTGAGTGCGCTAGAGCAGCTTAACAGACAAGGCCCGGATAAGAGCGTAGAGTCTACCATCCAAAAAGGAAGCACCCGAGACCCAATGTACAGCCCTCCCCTCCCCCCTCCCCTCCCCCTGAACGATCGAATGTGCCCGAGCAGGTTATCAGATAGTCCCCGACAAGACCGTAGGGCCCTCCATTCAAGTAAGAAGTGCCGAAGACCTGGTGTGGAGGGCCCTCGAAAAATCGAATGTACCCAAGCAGGTTGTCACATGGTCTCCGACAAGAGCGTAGGGCCCTAAGCAAGTGACAGAGAATTTGAAATGCCCTAGACCAATGCAGAGGGCCCATAAGCATTTTGCGAGTGTGTAGGATAACCGAGACCAACGTGGAGGTTCGATGAGCAACGGAGAATATCCCGGCACGTTAGCGTATGGGGGCCCTGGGCTATAACGTACAGAGCCTTTTGGACAAATGGGAATTGGAATCTGTGGAGTCCGTGGAAGGCCCCTGATTGACCAGACCGCCACGGTGGCAGGAAAGGTCCCAGCGACAGCCCAGGGCCCCCCGGGCAAATGCAAAGAAAGTAAGTGCAGCGTGGAGAGCCCCTCAATGATGGGATTGGTCCTGCCAGTGGGCATATAGGCCCCCCGGAAACAGCAAAGGGCCTCTGGACAGCGTAATGAGTCTTATGATATCCCAATCATGGCTCACTCAGTCAGTAAAGAGTAATTTTTGCCTCCTCGTGGGCCCTTCACTTTCGCTGGCGACTGTTCTTGGACGCCTAAAAGTCTAAAGATGCCAAATTTCGTTGCGTTTTGGGTTTAAAAAATGCATCCGTTCAACCGGCCATGGACCCCTTCGGAGTACTTGGGCTCCTTTGGGCCCAAAGTAGGGCCATGACCCATGGCCCTTCCTCCGGATGCGCCCCTAGCACGCCCTCGCATTTAGTAGCATCACTCATGAGTTGGCAGCATTTTAGCAGCAAGTGAAAGACTCGAGCTGCACCCTTGGAGACCTACATGCGCCGATCGCGCGAGGGCGAGCGGGCCTGGCCAGCCGGGTCCATACATAAACAACAGCCCAGGCGCCGCGTGTTTATAGGAGGCAGGGGCCTCCGGACTGACAAAAGGGTGCCGAGCGAGCGGACCTTGAACACTCGGGCTGTAGATAGGCAAAACGAAGCATTGCGTACCGTTCAGCCTCTCCTTGTTGCGGTTCTTGTGTGCCGAAACACGCACATTACGCAGTTACTGGCACGTGGAGGCATTGAAAGGCGCGTTATGCACTGTAATAGAATATTCCTTATCAAGTTTATTACAGCAATGCTACTGTCAATAATGTCCATAATCAGTTGTACAGTACAATTAAACTGACTTAAAAGTATGATTCAGCCGACGTAAGGGAGTAAGTAGCTTTTTCTACGCCCGGCAACTTCAGCGCTCCCGCAGCTTGGCCGCCTGGATGTCAGCGCCTTCGGCCAGTCATGACCGTTTCAAGGCTATGAGATGAAGGAGATTGTACGATAGGGCAGGGCTGCAGGCACCTGGAGCCCATCTGCCGAAAAATACGTCGGCACAGGAGGGGTTCCTGGGGTTCCACGGGAGGCATTCGAGTTGTGTGCTCGGCGCCCGTACGGGATGCCCACCAGGGGGCAACCGGGCGCGCTCACAGCTGGCGTGTGTAGTCTGTCCCGGATAAACAGGGTGTCACGAAGGTTCAGGATGACGTAGGAATGAGAACAGGGTAGGCGGCCCTCGCGTCAGCTGACTGGGCCGTTATCAGCCGACACGCATCTCAGCCACGGAGTCGGCGCGAGCCCGGCCGACCAGCGGCGTGTCCCCCTCGCCCCCCCCCCCCCGTCCCCCCGGCAGTCGCCAGCGCCAGCTGGTGCCGTGACGTTCTCCGCGATCCCGAGCCTCCCCCCTCCCTCCACAGACGCCGGGGTGAGCGGTTGGGTCGTGCGCTGTCCCCTCCATGTACACGACAGCGGCCGCGGAGAGACTGAGAGTCGTGGCCGATCACCTGGCGCCGCAGCCCGAGGCGCGCAAAGTGAGTGGTGTTTGGAGGCGGCTGCTGCGTGACAAGAGCTAACCTCGGCGGATTTCGGTGTGCCTCTTGTCACGTGCTTTTGATCTGGTTACACGTGCCCATTTTGTCTTTTTGTTCTCTTGTCCTTTTACACCATTGTTTTTGAGTGGGAATTCGAGGCCAGGATTGCGGGAAAAACGTTAAGTTTTGGACCAAGCTGGTCTGCCCAGCTATGGCGAGGAATCAGCGTTTGTCTCCGTCGCACCAGCAAATGGCGTAGCCGTGATTTCGGCTTTTAGGCGACCAAATCGAGTCATGCGGGGCCCATTCGTCAAGGGAGTCGTCTTCGTCACTGGAGGGCCTGTTTTTGTATTCGAAGGACCTTTTTGGGCCTGGGATCCAACTTCTATGCTTTGAGGCCGCTTTCGATGAACCTTACGGACGTCTCGTAGGAAATGATCCCATACACGTAGTAACGTTTCAAAAAGTGGGGAGAGCCAAGCACAGGGTGTCCTTCAGGAACGTTTTCGGGAAAGTAAGCACAGTGACGGGAATGGGGTTAGATATGGAGGTTGTTCTCCGTTTTTCATACGCGTAACATATTTTTGAAGTCATGAAATGCCGTGGCTGTTATTCTGGATACTCATCTACAGCTGTTTCTAACCAATGCACAAACTTGTCTTTTCGACTTATCTATGCCATTCGGCAAATAAGGTTATCCAGCTTCCCAGGATTATTCGTCCATTTTAACGTTGCCTTTCCTGGGGAAGCGAAATTCCACCAGCGGGTAGACATTCGGGTCATTGGGAAGGTGCCTGCGTCCACAGGGTAGATGCCGAAATACGACTTGGACGTAGGCTGGTCAGAATTTTGAATGCGAATCAATGGCCCATAGTGCGACAGATTTTTCATGCGCCTACATTCTGCCGGCTGCTTTAAAAAAAATGTCAGCATTCTAGGCGGAAACAAATTCGGAAGCTTCAAGAAGTAACTGCCAAAAACATCGTGATAAGAGACATCTAACTGGAGATTCTCCTGTAAAAAATCGAGTTACAGAATAAAGGCCCAACTGTCATATATTCCTTACCAGGGCCCTGCTCCCGTTCGCCGTCGGCGGCCACTGCCCTGGCCCGGCTGTCTTGCGCAAGAATGACTGCGAACTGATCGTATGACTGCTTTTTTGGATACTTATAGATCAGCATTGCTACCACATGGTGTGTAAAACATATCTTGGACACCTGCAACGACAACGGTAAGTGCTTTCCACGATTACCGCGCAGCTTCTGCCGAGTAACCAGCCACTTCCGATGCCACGAGCCAGGGATCAAAGTGTTGGATTCTTTTATGCGCTTGCTGCCAAGGGTGTGCCGATGCGGCAAAGTTTGTGCGCTCAAACAAAACGTTGTCCATATCCATACACAGTGGTTCAACTGGGCAGCACTGTACCGCATGACGTCACTCGTCGGCTGAGACGGGCGAAATCGGCTCAGGTAGCCCTCTATCGGGCAATATCCAAACCATTAGGTTTAGGGTTGCCTGGAAGTAGGACAGCATCCCATCCCGTGGGTCTCACACACGCTGGACTTTATGAACACTGGGCGCTGCGAGCCTGGACTTTATTATTCTCCTCTGCCCAGGGATTTTGGACGGTTTCTGGATGTTGTGAACGCTGATGTTGCGATTCTGGACTTTTTGACCTCCAGACTTAATAAGCTCTGGACGTTACAATACGCTCCCCCGCAACAGTATCTTTTCCCGAATTATCTTCCCTTAAACCACACCACCGCAGAAAAAAGCTTTAAGGAAGCTGCCTGCCTTAGACGTGAATTGGTTCAACGGACATGCAGTTGCCCCACATTCAATGTAGCCGACTTGACCTGCTCTCGTATGCAGGCAGGGGCGTAGCCAGAGTCTTGCTAAGGGGGTACGTAGGGTTGACATAAGCCCATACCAAGGCGACTTCCCCCGCAAAACAATGCCAGTTATAGGTTTTTTGTTTACAAAGGACACGGCTTTATTCGTTTTATTGTTATTTTCACCATGTAGCCGGAATAGAAACAGAAACCAGAGGCTACCGTGGGATCGATTCTGTTTGCATTTTGAAGTCAATAAAGTGCAGAAATCATGCGCTGAACGAGCGCAAGGATTGATTCCAATGCAAAACTCAGAGCAGTCCTGTATGACCTTAATCACCATAACCTTCAAAAGGTCAAACAAGGTCACTGGCCGTAAATGGCCATGTGACTTTTTGCTTAGAAAGTTCTCTAGGCTGTGGGGCACTTTAGAGACCAACTTGGAATCTCACCTTGTTTGACCTCATTTGACCCAAAAGTCATGACCTAGGAACCTCAAACTTTGACCTTAGTGAGTTCACGTGCAGGTCAACACACCCTGTGAATTTTGTGTCTCTAGCTCTCTTAGTTCTCAAGATATCTGGGGAGTCAAATTGACCGCTACCCGAACGAAGGGTACCTAGCCGGCCACCCGGGCGCGTGTTAAGAATGTAAATATAATTGATTTCAAGGTAGCTTCTGGTTTCTCCTCTGGTTACAACGTAAAAATAACAATGAAGCGAGGACAACCGTATCCCTTGTTAACAAGTAAACTATATCCGGGGAAAGCTTTTTGCGAGGGGGGATCACCGTAAAAAGGGCTTTTGTCAACCCTATGTTCCTCTTAGCAAGGCTCTGGCTATACCCTGCCTACACACAAAAGTAGATCAAGTCATCTACGTTGAATGATGTGCAATTAAATGTCCGTTGGGCCAGTTCATACCTAAAGTAGGTAGCTTCCCGACGGCATTTTTCTGGGGCGGTGTGGTGTAAGGGAAAATGATCTTTAAAAGGTACTGTTGCAGGTATCCGACACGTGTTTTACATCCAATTCAGTAGCAACGCTGACCCGGAAATGTGTAACGAAACGGCCATACCATCAGTTCGTGGTCAGTCATTCGAAAACGGCAGGGCCAGGACAGTGGCCACCGACGGCGGACGGGAGCAGGGCTCAGACAAAGAGCATATGACAGAATTGACTTCATTCTGTGGCTTGGTTTTCAAAGGAGAATCTCCAGTTCTATGGCTTTTGTCACATTATTTTTGGCAGTTTCATGCTTCCGAATTTGTTTCCGCCTAAAATGCCGTGACAAGTCTTATCTCTTGAAAAGCAGCCAGCGAAATGACGGCGCATGCGAAATCTGTTATACTGTGAGTCATCGATTCACTTTCAAAAATTCTCACCAGCCTATGCTCAGACCATATTTTGGCATCTACCCTGTGGAGACAGATGCCTCCTCAATGACCCAAAATGCCTACCCGCTCGTGGAATTTCGGCTTCCCAGGAAAGACACCGTTGAAATGGACGAATAATCTTGGGAAGCTGGATAGCCTTATTTTCCGAATGACATGGATGAGTCGGATAGGCAAGAGTGCACACCAGTGAGAAACAGCTCTAGATGCATGTCTAGAATAGCAGTCATTGCATTTGAATAAAGAGCAATAACTTCCATCTCTACCTCGCCCTCCACCCCCCTCCCCCCCGGTCGTCGGGCTGGTTTTCCAGAAAAATTTCTTAAGTATTTCCTAAGCTTGGCCCGCCCACTTTTTGAAACGTTCCTACGTCTATGGTCGAAACCCATACAAATGTCCCTTTCAGCTAGCCAAAAGTATTGAGGCCTCGGGGGGGGGGGGGGGGTGGAGGGGCAAATGGCCTGGAGATCTTCCTGATCTCCAGGGTACGGGGTTTGACCCCCGAAGCTATCCTTTTCCCATGCTATCGGCACCGGCAAGCCAGAGGAAGGCCCATGCGGCCAAGCCCGCTGTCTCGGCGAGCCCCAAGCCGACTGTAGCACATCCCGTTGACAGGCGATGAGCTCGTCTTCCTGGCTGTCGCTGCGCGCTTCCACCTGCCTATGGCTGCCTTCATTTTGCAGTGTGCTTCGCAACCGTCTGCGTATGCACCGCATCGGGGTTGCCGTGGGCAGTTTGGCTGAGGACTTCCAATGAGACATTACCGAGATCAGCTGGAGTCCGAATCTGCACGGCGCCTGGCCTGAGATCATGATAGTGCAGAAATATGTCGTGCGCGCCATCAGCGTCTAAACCATACACTGATAACTACAGTATACTGGGCGTCCGTAAGCTTCCTTCCCACTCGCAGAACGAGCGGGTAGGCTTCCCGGGTATGGGTCAGGAGCGTATTTTGCACACCCTAGGGAGCCGGGCCGCGAAAAAGTTAAGATTTTAACATTAAACGTATGGGGATCATAGAAAGAGTAACCTCGAGTGCTGCTGGAGCTGACAGTCCAGGTATCTCTGGAAATGACATGGGTGACATGACAATGGCTCCCTGACAAGATTGTGTGTACATGACACATAACTGCCAAGCCCCCAGGCCGCTACCACGCGCCATGCGTTGGAGCGTAAAACGTGGCTAGTAGCTAGGGGTCCGCTCATTTTCTTTCGCGCTGGCTTCCCATTCACTGTATCGGTGGAGCGGTAAACAAGTAATCGGGCGACAAAATCAGGCGACTGCTTCGCACCCCCATGGTATGATCAGTTTCGCACACATGAAGCCGCTGGTGTGATCTCGCCAGTCACCGTCCACTCGGTGTCCTGTTTCCAGACGACGGGAGCAATGTCGGGGGCGCCTCTGACGTCACACGTCCTGGATACGGCCAACGGGCGACCAGCGCGAGGATTGCTGATCACATTTTTCAGAAAACGCCAGGACGACTGGGTCTGCATCAAATCAAGGTGGACAGTCCGCACGTGTTTTGTTTGGTGTTTACGACGCCTGTGTGACCCACACGTGTTCTCCGTGTTACTCCCCGGAAAGGCTGAGTCTCTTCACCCGCCGAACTATCCTCACTCACTGCTTGGCAACACGAGCGGCACCCCGCCTCACTGGAAGTGTACTGCGGCTGTCAGCCGGGAGTCAGTCTTACGACCTGTGACTGTGACCTTACGTGACCTTACTGTGACCTTACGATCCGCCGCGAGTCCCGCCCGAGCACATGCACATGGCGCAAAGATGTGCCCCTCTGCGCGGTAAGGCTTGGTAGCGGAAGCGTCCCAGATGGCTGCATTAATGCCACACTTCTTACCTTTCTCATAAACCACATGGCTCAAAAATAACCATTGCTGGCCAAAAAAAGTACTGATGAAAGCATTGGTTAGGCAATCTTAAATGCCATAAGTGTTTGGTCTGGCACGACCTTGATCTTGGACGACCTATGGAATTGCTAGGGGCACAAATAATGTGCATTCGCAGTCACTCGAGGCGAGGAGCGCTAAGCAACAGGCCAACTGCGGCAGTGCCGAAATTTCATTGTAAAGCATAGCATAGCGTCGACTGGCATAGGCCAGTGGGTCATCTTGCCGCAGGGGTCTTATAGAGCAGAACCATAGCTCACTGAGCCAATGTGGCATTTAATTAGGTTTTCAGGTTTGCATATAATATTCTAGCTCAGTTACGCAACATGTGACTAAATTGCTGATACGGTGTGGCGCTGTTAGACATGGCGCTTTCAATCATGTTTTCCCTCAACGTCACGTAGGATTGCATAGCATCATGTCGCATAGTATGTCGTGCAATGTCATGACAGATGTGCAAAATGCGTTGGCATTAAGGGAGTTGCATTCATCTGATCCAAACGGGCCCTTTTTGTTGGGCTCCTCCAGCGAAACAAACGCCGATGGCCGCTGCTCCGGGTTTCTGCGGCGGGATGACTTCACTGCAGACATCTACAAAATGCGTTTCGACACCGCAGACTACTTCCACCGTATGGGACAGCGGTCATTCTACCCATACGTGGAGGTAAGACAGCGCTACCTGCGCGTCACATGCACCACCGACTGTTGGTGAGGGTTATAAGTTCCACGGAATCTAGCGGGGCATGCAGCTCATCTTTCACTAATGCACTTGTCACCGCTGGTCTCAAAAAACGTGGTCTGAGATGTGAATGGTGACCCCTGCAGGAATCAACTGGGCGAAATAACGTTTCTTATGCTCGTGCCTGATTTTTAATGTGAACATATAGAAACATGCACTTCGTAACAGTACCAGGCGTTCCTTCTCCCAGTCAATGTTAAGCACGCACACAAACATTTCGAAAACACCACGCTCAGCCTTCGTGGCCTGCTGCTTCCTCCACGTAACATATGGATAAAGTACTAGTACTCCTGTTACGCAGAAGGGATTTCGTATCCACCATAACGGCGGTCAAATACATCATTATTGAGCACATGATCCGTATAGTAGGCCATGTTTTCCCGCGGGTAACGGGAATCTCGCCGTGTCTGTGAACGCGCTGATCGTATCATCCAACTTACTCATCTCTTGCTACACAGCGACAGCGTGTCTAGCTCTGCCCACGACGGTCTCAGCGCAAACTGACGAGGTCCTCCCCACCCGTCCATTGCGGCAGATCGTGTTCGAGGTGCTCCAGCCGGAGCAACACTACCACGTGCCGCTGATCCTGTCGAGGTTCGGCTACTCCACCTACCGGGGCAGCTGAGGCTCTTTCCGCACGCCATAGCAAGGCCGGCCGCTCCGACCGCGGCCGGTCACGTGGTCCAGACGGCAAACACCAGCCCGGACGAGGCACGCCACGCGCGGAAGATAGGTGTGCGTTCGTGACGAACTATCCGTGCTGTTTAGTTTTCCTCCGCTCAAAATATTATCGACCGCTTGCTTATGGTGATGTTAACTGAGAAATTGAAGCGGGGTGTATATTATCACCATCACATGCGAAGAAACACTGCAAAGCTTTGTCGTATTACGATCACATGACGCATGCGGCACATACGATCACAGGTCAATACATACGTACCACGCATATATTTATTTACCACGCATTATTATCGTACCACGCATTATTATCACGGAGCTTTGGTACTGAGCGCTCGCACAGCACTGGCCAGCGAACGGTCGCTCTGAGGACAACAACATCGCCGTCCGTCGCAGCCAGAGCCCGGCCGGCCACCACCACCCGACACAGCTGCCGCACGACGAGTGCCGGGCAGTCCGCGGCCACCGGCGCTAGCAGATGTAGCTGGGCCCCGAGTGGCCGATGCCGCCGCCGCAGCCGGCGCCCGGCGGCGGCCGGTCGTGCGGCGCCGGCGGCGGCGGCGGTGCCGCGGCCGCCCCCTGCCGCCGGCCGCGCCGGTAAGCCTCATTGTCGGCCAGCACGGCGGCGCGCAGGCCGGCCGGCAGCGCGGCGAGCGTCGGCGCCGGCGCCGGCGCCGCAGCCGGCTCCTCCTCGCGCCGGTAGAAGAGCATGTAGGCGGCGTCGGCGGCCGATCGGAGCGCCGTGCCCAGCACCGCGGCGGCCGGCACCGGCGCCACGAGGTCGTCGTCGAGCCGGTGCCAGCCGCCGGCCGGACCGTCCGAGCGGCGCGCGTAGCAGAAGTAGTGGCCGGCGTCGAGCGAGCGGCCCGAGTGCACGATGACGGCGTACAGCTGGTAGAGCGCCGCCGGCCGACCGCTCACCGGCACCGCCAGCCGCTCCGTCAGCCCCACCGGCGCCAGCAGCTTGCGGCGCGCGCCCGTGCGCCGGTCGAACACGAACCGCACCAGCGAGATGACGAGGTAGTGCGGCGGCTGCAGCAGCCGCAGCTGGCGGTCGGCGTCGCGTAGTGCCCCGCACGCGCCGCAGTGGTACTGGTTGTCGCCGCACAGCCGCTCCGGCAGCAGGTAATGGTGCAGCAGGTCCGATACTGCAGCACGGGCGGACGCTGCCACAACGGCACTGGACCGCGCAGCACGCACGATAGGCACCAGACGACGGTCACCTTGCCCACGTCATAGGAGTCTTATAGGGAATGTTCCACATTCGAAGATTTCGAGACCAGCATCAGGTATGATGGAACAGGATCACTTATAACTATTGGCATACTTTGGTATACTAAGTGAAGAAGGCCGCTCATAATTTCGCTGTTCAGTAGATATGCTTTCCAACACGTTATTTTTTCATTACGCCATCGCAACTTGCACAATATTGAAAGTTAATCAGCGGCCATGTTGTCTAGAAATCGTTTCCATGAAAGTCACATATCAACATATCGACAATCGATTTCTTTCTTGTCCTTGATCCCCGCATGACCAACGTAATGACAGGATTTGAATGACGTTGATAAAGCGTCATGGATGCCTGGGTGATGTTCAAATATGCTCCCCGAAAAAATCTATACATCTTCGCGGGTGTGCATCTCAGAAACTAGAAGGAGTTAGGTCTTACGAAGGGTAGGCGTGCAAACGGCACCGCACAATCCTCAAGATGGCTATTTCCGTTCAAAACCCCGTAAAACGCGGAACACTCCGTTTAAGGAAGCGATCAGCAGAAGACATTAGTGATGTAACGTTGGACGCAGCAATGCAAAAGGCTTTCGCAAAGGTGGAAGAACCATGTGAATGTGCCCAGTTATCAACTGCGACTGATCTACCACGACGCAATTCACACAAAGGAGTTTGAGTGAATGGGCTTTGACAAGAAAAGGCCGCAATTTAGAGCAAGTTCGCATATCATGGATGGTCTTGAGTTTTAATCTGAAAATCCACGACGTTCGATGGCCCGACGTGCGCTGTCGGCGGCTCGCTTAAATTTTTAAAACGAAAGACGGGTCCAACAAGCGCCAAGATCTCCACACAGTACCTCACGGCTGGCTCTGAACGGTACGGCCGCACGTGGCCAGTTCCCGCACCGACCCCCGATCTGAGCGCAGCTATCGGCGCCCTCTGCTCTCACCTTGCACGGTCGTTCCGGACGACTGCTGCGGACTAAGCTCTCGATCACTCCTCGGCCGCGACTGCGGCTCCGGCTCCGGGTTCGGATGCGGCTGCGGCTTCAGCTCCGGCTCCAGCTCCGGTTCCGCCTTTGGCGGCGGCTTCGGTTCGGCCGGCGGCGACTGCACCTCCGATTGCACTTCCGACTGCAGCTTTGACGGTGGGTCCACCCCCGGTGTCTCCGCCTCTGCCCGTGACGCTGATTCGGCCGGCGACTCGGTCGCCCTGGGTTGCGTCAGCACGTCGGGCAGCGCCAGGTGCAGGTCCGTCATGCGGTCCAGGTGGCGCGAGGCCTTGCCGCACGTGCGGCACGTGTAGCTGGTCTCGGCGCGGCCCCCCAGCAAACGGCGCACCAGACCCACACCCGGCTCCGGGCCGCCACCGGCACCAGCGCACTCGCCGACGGCGGCCGGTTTCTCGCAGTGGCTAGCATTGGTCGCCTGCCCATCACCGAGGCGCAGCTCCGGGCCAGCCACGGCGGGTGGAGAGGCGCCATCCACAGACATGGGCACGTCTTGACTGACCCCGACTGACTGAGATGCCCCAATGGCGGACGGAGCGGCGCCGCCGGTGGACGCTGCCATGTCTTGGCTGGCTCCGACAGACTGCGTGACCTCACAGCTGGACGAGGGCGCATCGCCAGGAGCCTGCGAAGCATCGCCACTCGCCAGTGCGGTGTCGCTGGCGGCCATGGCCGCGTCCTGACCGGGCCGGGCGGCAGGTGACAGGCTTCGGGCCGCCCCTCCCAGGCCGGCCGTCTCGGAGAGCGGTGTGACACCGGCGCCGCTGCCGCTGCCGCAGGAGCGGTGTCGTCGCCGCTGGCGGGCGGCCGTCGCGGGCCGCTCCAGGCCCATGTCGTCCTGGCAGCGGACGGCCGGCCGGACGGGCGCGGCGGCAGGGCCGGCCGACGTGGAGGCCGACCTCTCCTCCTCGTGCATGGCGTCCAGTAGGTACCTAAGCAAGTGTGCCCCTTAGACCCGGCGGGAACCTCGCATCCATGCAATAAACGAATGCGCACAGAGCAATTGCGGTCAAGACCATGTGGCCATCGCATGCAGCAGCATCATACAGTAAAGATAAACTATTACAGCGTCAGGCCCTTTCGTAGGACAGAATGATCGTCTTGCTCATCACAACCATGAACACACAACGGAATTCAAGCACAAGATTCAGACCATTCTTGATTAAAAGGTGTCGTACTTCCTACGAACTGTATACGAACTGTAATCCAACTTGCAGCATTTCGCACCGCATTTATGAACGCCACGTCACCAGCGCAAGCGCTGCTCATACCGACAGAAACACTTTCCCTGAGACCCTAACGTGATGCTCCGACACCATCGGCCGGTAACGGAGCGCCGGCCGGCCCGACTGCCGGCGCGCTCCGCACCTGACAAACTCGGAGCAGTCGTGCTGGCGGCCGACCTCGAACCAGGGCGGCAGCGCAGCCCGCTGGAACGCCGCTGGGCTGTAGGCGGCCCGCTCGGAGAACGCGAGGAAGGCGAACGCGCGCTGCAGGGCGGCCAGGTGGCGGCGCCGCGGGTCCGGCCCGGCCGACAGCACCTCGCGGCACAGCCTGCCGACGGCGGTCGGAGCATCAGCAGGGGCACGACGGTACGGCGAGACGACGTCGAGCGCTCAGGTGGTGAACGTGATGGACAGGCGGAGAGCCTGCACCAGGACGTACACCAGCTGCGAGCCGTGGTCTATTCATTGTGGACCAGGGACCGCTGTAGCTGTGGCAATTCACGATTTACTACAGGCAGCATAACACGTACCAATGCCTAAACCTTATCATGGTATAGCACGAACAAGGAGAATGAGGATGAATATGATCTGAGTCTTAAGGCGCGCCGACGTCGGAAAACCATTTTGCGCCCGTGACCAGAGTTGAGAGGAGCGACGTTTTCTAACCAAAAGGAAGAAAATATTGTTGACATGAAAACAAGTGACGAGTTCAACAAGGAAGACCCATTCCCAGGATGTCCGGATATGTCAGAGTCTGAGCTTGTCTCCGGTCACCAAACAATGGCGAAATTGCCTCTGGTCACCGAACACTGGCGAGCTTGTCTCCGGTCACCGAACACTAGCGCGCTTGTCTCCGGTTACCGAACACTGGCGAGCTTGTCTCCGGTTACCGAACACTGGCGAGCTTGTCTCCGGTCACCGAACACTGGCGAGCTTGTCTCCGGTTACCGAACACTGGCGAGCTTGTCTCCGGTCACCGAACACTGGCGAGCTTGTCTCCGGTCACCGAACACTGGCGAGCTTGTCTCCGGTTACCGAACACTGGCGAGCTTGTCTCCGGTCACCGAACACTGGCGAGCTTGTCTCCGGTCACCGAACACTGGCGAGCTTGTCTCCGGTTACCGAACACTGGCGAGCTTGTCTCCGGTCACCGAACACTCGCGAGCTTGTCTCCGGTTACCGAACACTGGCGAGCTTGTCTCCAGTCACCGAACACTGGCGAGCTTGTCCCGGTTACCGAACACTAGCAAGCTTGTCTCCGGTTACCGAACACTGGCGAGCTTGTCTCCGGTTACCGAACACTAGCAAGCTTGTCTCCGGTCACCGAACACTGGCGAGCTTGTCTCCGGTCACCGAACACTGGCGAGCTTGTCTCCGGTCACCGAACACTGGCGAGCTTGTCTCCGGTCACCGAACACTGGCGAGCTTGTCTCCGGTTACCGAACACTGGCGAGCTTGTCTCCGGTTACCGAACACTGGCGAGCTTGTCTCCGGTCACCGAACACTGGCGAGCTTGTCTCCGGTTACCGAACACTGGCGAGCTTGTCTCCGGTCACCGAACACTGGCGAGCTTGTCTCCGGTCACCGAACACTGGCGAGCTTGTCTCCGGTCACCGAACACTGGCGAGCTTGTCTCCGGTTACCGAACACTGGCGAGCTTGTCTCCGGTCACCGAACACTCGCGAGCTTGTCTCCGGTTACCGAACACTGGCGAGCTTGTCTCCAGTCACCGAACACTGGCGAGCTTGTCCCGGTTACCGAACACTAGCAAGCTTGTCTCCGGTTACCGAACACTGGCGAGCTTGTTTCCAGTCACCGCACACTGGCGAGTTTCGCTCGTAACTCACTCAACAGTACACCTCTCACGCAGCACACCTCTCACGCAGCACACCTCTCACGCAGCACACCTCCCACGCAGCACACCTCTCACGCGGCACACCTCCCACGCAGCACATCTCTCATGCCCATCCGGAGCTAACTGGACCGCACTCACCTCAGGAACACCGCCGCTAGCCTGCCCGAGGCTCACCAGTGCCTACCCCACCGGTCCCATAAGCGTCCGCCCCACCAGTTCCATCAGCGCCCCGCCCCACCGTCCATCAGCGCCCGCCTCACCGGTCCATCAGCGTCCGCCCCATCGTCCATCAGCGTCCGCCCCACTGGTCCATCAGCGTCCGCCCCATCGTCGGTCAGCGCCCGTACAGCGGCCCTTCAGGCCTTCAACGCACTCACACACACACACACACACACACGGTCAGCCCACGGCCGGCCCGCCTCCTGGGTGCACTTACTCGTCCGAGTGGAAGAGCGCCTGCAGCACGGCGTTCATGAAGCACGTGTTGCCGAGGTTGACGAGGCCGCGCCGCTCGGCGGCCGGCCGTGGCGCCGGCTCGTGCTCGGGGCATGGCTCCGGCCGCGCCGCCGGATCACACCAGGCCGACGAGAGCAGCAGGCTGGCCATCACCGACGGCGTCGGCGGCGCCCGCTCCTGCCGGCGCGCCAGCGACGGGCGTCACGAGCGGCGCCACGCCCGGCAGCGCCATCGGACCGCCGGTCTCGTGTCAAAATGGATCAGACAGGCCACGGGATAACATTCTACATTTTCACCACCCGTGGGCGTCCGTCAATGAGGGGCATTATCTTTGCGGGAGTATGACGACGCTACGAGATCGTCGGCATAATCTCACTTTCAGGCATGGTTGATGTAGTGTGAAAAATAGATTGACCAACATGATAACATCCATATACATACACAAAAAAGCATAACGCTAAATGCTTTATGGCGCGCATGTCTCAGCCAAAAGGGAATCCATTGAATCAAATACACTCCACTTGAATCAAATACAAGCGACGATACTAGCGCCACTTCGCCTTAACCTAATGCGCTTTCAGCACCAGACAAAGGCGTGGCAGCCCAGCGCGCCGCCTGAAGCGTTTCGCGATCCAGCGGCTGTCCCTGCTCCGCACCTGCAGCGCCTTGAGCAGGGCGTCGTACCGCCCTGGGTGGCCAGGGTGGAGCCGGATCAGTGTCTGGGCCAGGTCGGCCAGCTGCCCATAGTCGGCTCCGTCCGAGCCGCCCTCCCGCCGCAGCTGCTCCAGCAGACCCGGCAGCCGGTGCAGCACCTGGGGCCACACGGGGCGGGTCATGTCGGACCCCACCCACCCCGCCCGCCCGGCGACCGCAGCAGTGCCAGGGGCCACGTCGCCGGCGCGGTCACGTGAGGAAATCACGGACCCACGTCTAGTTAAGATAGCCACAAACTGGTTAGTTATATTCCCTTCCTCCGTAGTTAAACTCCTGCTCCGTTAGTTACAGTCCCCTCCACCGCTTTCAACACTGCGGGCGTACTTTCTAAATGACCGGTCCACAGTGACGGCGAACACGCTTGAACAAAACAAAGCCCCTTTAACTGGAGCTGACTGCCGCCCGCGCCTGTCTAGTGCGGAGCGCCGACCTTGTGGAAGGCAGCCGGCGAGTGCGGGAACCCCAGCAGCATCAGCGACACCACGGGCAGGACGGAGCGACGCGCCGACGGCAGCGTCAGCGCCCAGCACAGCTGAAAGGGCGCACAAAACATCATCACGTTCAGGGGACAGCGGACGTGGCGAGAGAACCTGACATATTGCCGTTTAGTCGTGCGAGTCTGTTTCTCCATCTTTTCTAGTTTTGGTGATCTCTGTGTTTGCCGTAGTTTTAAGTTGTTACATCTTGAGTTTTTAGTTTTTAGTCGGCATCTCTCTAAAGCCTTGGAGCCTTCTGTATGTTTCCTTAGCATTGCCGCTGTGTTGCTCCCTAGCTGAGGCGTTTAAATCTACCATACACCAGCGCTTCGACGCATCCGTTCCCCGGGGGTGCAGTGCAGTGAAGTCGCCACCAGGCGCACCTTATCGACGCGAGCCAGCACCAGCTGGTGGAGGAGCGCCGTCTGGCCTCGGCTGGCCGCCTCCCGGACCAGCCGGGCCAGCCAGACAGCCAGCCGGTCGGCCCGCGGCCACAGCAGCAGCCAGTCACAGAGCAGGCCCATCCCGCGAGCCGTCGCCTCGCCGTCGCCCTGGCCACAGAGCAGAGCGCGCTGCATGGGTCGGCCTGGCAGCGTGGGCAATCACGCCGAGTAGTGTATGATTTTGCGTGCTAGGTAAACTATGGGTTGAGCCCTTTTCAGCCGAGTTTGTCTGAGTGAACACAGCACGTGGAATCGGTACCAGCACGCTTTTTTTACCCAGGGTCGTAAGCGGATATCATTCTGGACAAGATTGATTGTCAGTAAGGAAAACCGAGCAAAATATACACATACACGCGCAGATTCCTTCAAAAGCATTACACCGCTCACGCAATCCATATGATTCCGCGCAACCGAGCCCGCCTGATCGCTGCCAGCCGTGGTGCGGCGCCGTCCGGCCGGACCCGGGCGGAGCGGCGGCTCTGACCGGACCAGGTCGGAGAGGCGGCTCCGGCCGGACCAGGACGGAGGGGCGGCTCCGGCCGGACCAGGGCGGAGCGGCGGCTCTGACCGGACCAGGTCGGAGAGGCGGCTCCGGCCGGACCAGGACGGAGGGGCGGCTCCGGCCAGCGGCCACCGTCCGGAGAGCGGTGCATACCGAGCGCAGGCTGACCAGCTGGGAGCAGGCCGGTCCGATCAGCTTCAGCGGCACAGCCTGCAGCACCACGCTCAGTGCCGGGCTGGTGTGCACCGCTGGGGGCGCGTGCACGACCTATGTTACCGGAGTCGTCGCAGGTCCGACGCACGCGCCCAGCCGGCCAGGCGTGCGCAGCGCGGTTGCTTTGTTTAACGTTGCGTGGCGCGCGGCCGTTTATGGAGCACTAACGGCCGCAGCGGTCATATACACACTCAGCGGTTATAGCGTCAGCTGGCCGTCCAGACCATCACCCGTCTCATCCGTGCCCAGCTGAGGGCCAGCCTCCTCCCGCGCATGACCGCCACCTGCGCACATGGCATGTGTGCAGCTGAGGCCGCATCGACATTTCAGAATACGGTGACGGAGGCGTCGGCCTGTACAAAAAGAAGCTCCAAATGACATAATATTGATTCATGTCGCAAACGACAACTCAATTACTTCACAAATTCCCGCGGGCCAAAAATAATAAAATATTGTAAACTGCAACTTAGAAATTGTCCATTCCCACCGACCATAGCCATATGAATATAGAAATATCCCTTTCAGAATATATACAACATCTATCCCAGCCAAAATGACCGACAAAAAATACAGCTCCACAATTTAGAATGAGGCACCAGGTATGGATGCCAATACGTCTCCACGACCAGAGCGGCCACCACTTACCTGGATCGGCCATGACCTCGTAAAGCGCGTCACAAGACCTGATGACAGGTCTGCGTGCTGGAGAAGAGCTCCTTGAACAACAGCTGAACGTGCTCCATCTGGCTGACGAAGGTGGCGATCGGGCCGCTCTGGTCGGGCATCCGAAGCGTGGCTACTGTGCGGATCACCGTCTGCGACAGTAGCACAGCCTCCTCGAACCTGCCGGCAGCACGGCACCGTGGCCAGATTGCCAATAACCACCGCCGTCTGGCATGGCCGAGCTGGGAAGGCCACCAATCTACATAAAATTGCGCGCACACTCTACGGGCGACACGCGAACGTTCAAATGGTGGAAGACTACAACTAAAGCAGACATAAGCATGGGGCGTTAAACGGGTTTATCTACAGCCGGTAAGCAAATGCAAGCATGAAAACAAAAGAGCGAAACAACCAAACGTCAGGCGTCCGTCCCCAGCCGCGCGGATCGGACCCGCAGCAGCGACCACCGGACCGCAGCGGCGGGCCGGCGCGCCCACCTGGGTCTGCACTGCGGCCAGCTGACCATCAAGTCGGCCAGGCCGGCCAGGCTGGCCGCTCCGTGACCGGGCGCGGCCGCGTGCTCGGCCAGCAGCCGGCGCAGTGGCCCCAGCAGCGCTGGCTGCTGTAGCCGGTCCAGCAGCCAACCGACCAGCGCCGGCCCGACGGCCGGGCTGAGCGGCACGCGCGGCGCCAGCAGCGGCTCCAGCAGCACGGGCAGCGCGCACTTGGCCAGCACGGCGTCGTTACATCTGACGGGATGCCTTGCGTCAGCGGCGGCGCCGACATCTCGGCCTTCCCAGTCAGCGCGATACAATGGAGGCTCAAGATGAGGTCAACAGCACCTCGGCCACACCACACAAAAGGCGAAAGTCGCATCTGTCGCTTCGAGTCGCTGCGGCCTACAAGACAATATTCCTCGAATTTGGTAACAACTTGTAGACCGACTTTAGGTAAAGTACACAACACCGAATCAATGTCACCCTCCGCGTCACTGTCCTGAATCAATAGGTACAGCTAAAGGACGTGATTTGGTGATCAGGTGATTCCTTTCAATATTCCACAGCACACCCAACGCAAAAGCACAACATCGAGTCCGCTGTAACGCGAGGACCTGAAACACAGAAGGTAACAAGCCTCGAGCCGGTAATGCTTTGATATTCCAGGACAACCTCTCCCAATGTGCCACGAGTCACGTGCCACGTCGACCCCGCCTGTCCCTGTCACGTGCCACGTCGACCCCGCCTGTCCCTCCCTCGCAGCACTCACTGTCCCCACTCGCGGATGACGAGGGCGCCGGCCTCGGCCAGCTCGTCAGCGGTCGCCGTCTGGATCATGACGACGCCGACGCCGAGGAGACGCCGGCAGACGTCGGCCGACACGGGCTGGTGGGCGGCCGTCTCCACCAGCCGCCGCGTCAGCGCCGCCTTCAGAGCCACCGGGTGCGTGGAGCGCGTCAGGCCCAGCAGTACAGCATCCATCTGAAGGGACACTGGATGATGACTGCGAGCGCGGTTATAGGGAGGAGGTGCAGGCTGAGAGGTTCGTAATACCGCAAGCTCCCACGTACGAAAGACGCCGATCTCAACTGCATCTTCTACTTTTTGTTTTCAGGCAATAAGGAGGCACCGTCACACAAAATGTTACAAAATATTGCGTAAAATGCGTGTCAAATCAAGACATATGAGCTTCCTGTACAAAAGCTGAGGGTAGGTACGAATAATGGCTTCAAAACACATAAAAATGCAAATTACGCCGCAATGAAACCAATACCACCGTGCTTCCGTTTCCACTTAGTGATAAAACATGTTGTGTTTCTCGCGTTGCCAAAACAGCACACTTCCGGCTTCTTAGTTAAACCCAATATTGTGCATGGAGACGCGTACGTCTCCACTTTGACACAACTTACCGTGACGTTACGACTGAAATCCATGCAAATACACGCATAAAACTAGCGCGTATATCCGCTAGGTGCAGAGCAACCTCCAAAACCACTGGAGCCATCAGAAGCATTGCATGTGATAACTCCTCAACTAAAACAGCACTCTTCAGTGTTTGGGAACTGATGACGGCCCACGGCGGCAGCCGAGCCCGTCTCAGAGCCACCTGACTGGAAAGTTCAGAGCTTCTGCAGGCCTGCAGGCAAGACCAGCTACACCTGGGACGAGCTTATACATCTGCATACATGGGCCACACTGCTAGGAAGTTCACAGTGCTGCAAACTTGCTGGTCAACAAGAACCTTTACTCCTTACAGCTGTGCTCCACTATTCTCAAGAGACTTACATGCACGCTATTGGATCAGGTAGTGTGTTCCTGCAATGCCGCAATATCACCAGTATTTCAGCTCTTCATTTGTTTAACTTAGCACACATGAAATTTGGGTATCATTAAAACTGAACAAACTGGAACAGCTAACACCGGGAGAGGCTGAACTATACCAGGATGCTAAAGCAATAAAATATCCAGGTGGCCAACGATATAACTCGGTTGGCTTGCACCATCGCTCATAGTCAAAGTCTAGGTCGGGCACAGGTCCAGCTTTCAGCAACCCGATGTCTCAGTGCCATAAGACCATGATTATCAACTGTAAATCATTACATGATGTCAACCCTGTCTGACCCATAAGTGTGTGGTAACAGACCAGGAAACAGTCACTGCCAGCCTCTTTGAAAATGGCCGTAAGTTAACACCCTGTATACTCACCAGACAGAAACCAGACACAAAAAACAAGCCAACATTGGCCAATTCCCAGTGATTCTGTGGGATTAGTGGACATTGTCATGCTTGGCTGTTTGATGGATGTGGAAAGGAAATGTCTTGCAGAATATGGCCACAGAATGCACAAAATCATTGCCCATCTTGCAATTTTTTCATCAACATGGTGGTGCTCAGAACAATGTCTGCTAGTCAACAGCCAAAAATTTAGAAAGGAGAAAGACAATTCTGATGTTTTCTTACTGTTATTTCAGGTTTGAGTGAGTGCATGTTACATAGTGAGACATATGACAGTGCATAACTGCTTGGTAATGGTCATTTTGGGTCAATGAATGCACACATTGTAGTCAATGACAATGAAGTATTTTCCAACCTTTTCTTGCATGCATTGTATTCAATGACAATGAAGCATTTTCCAACATTTTATATCATTTGTGGCACACATAAGTTATTATGTCATACAAAAACCTGTGTTGTTTGGTTTGGTTTACACCGGGACTGCTGCAGCCCTTCAATGAGGAATCATTGTGATATTCGTCTGCAAGGCAAGGATGATGCTAGCACTGGCAACAGCTTTTGATGATTGTCATGCAACAAGAAACAATAGTGCCAGCTGGTGGCAAGGCATGGTGACCAAACTCTTGGATCTGCTTCTGATGTACAGGCTTGTGGTAAGGAGCACCCTGCCTCTCACAGGCCCAGTTCATCACAAATTTGATGAGCTTTTTGACTGCCTGTTTGTGTTAGATACAGCAATATGTAGGTAGTAAATAATACTTGTCCACCTAAATGCTTACTCCATTTTTACATGATGTGTACTGAGTGAGATGCTGGGAACCAATTGTCAAGTGATTCCTTGCTCAAATATCTGCAGGGTTACAATGAGTTTCTACAGAGCAGCCTTCACACAAAGGTATTTTTCAGTACCCCTGGCATTATGAAAGCTAGGGCTGGTCCAAGTGTGGCCATAAGCTATAAATTCCCTTTTGAGCTTTGAGGAGCCCTAAAGAATGAAGAAATGCATGGTTACGTACAATTTCTCTGAGCTCCAAAATACACCTGGGGTTCTTAGAACTTGAAAGACACTCAGAACCATAAAAACAAAACAAAATTCATAATTTACATATCAGCCATGTTCATGATGTAACATCTTGTAATGAAAATTTAAGCATCTAAGTAAATTTTCAAAAAACAGGGCCTGTCAGTGGATAAGTCGCACCTCATATCCTCATCCCTTAGCCCCACCATGACAGGCTGAAATGTTTCCCTTCAGACAAATTCCTGATCCACCTGACCTGCACATAAAATACGATTCATATGCATGAATATGAAGGCATTTAAATATGTACGTAACAGCTTCTCAATTTCATGCAAACTACATGCTAAATCCAATCATAAAACAAAGTTCAAGGGAAAAATATGCACAGATAGACCATTTACAAAATCACCTTACCAGCTTACACCATTATTCAGACGAATCAGAATAAAACCCTTCACAGATTTACTTACTTTGAGGTTTCAGGCCGAAAAGCCGACAACTGGATATGTATCGACAAAGCGTCTCGGGACTACCCTGCACTGACCACAGTGCATCACGGCTTTTTATCCACTTTCGTTTCGACTAATCATTCAGACAACAGCAGCAGACGATGAGCTTCCTTGTCTATTGCGCGCCGTTTCTGAAGAGAATATTCACTGCCATATTTACTGCTTATTTTTACTAACAAGCTCGCGGTCTTATTCGATGGTACATTGATGGAAGGCACTGGTTTAAAAATTAAGGCCCGCACGATCGAATGGCTTTTTCCTTACACAGCTAACGTACTTTTTGCTGGCGTTGCAGTGGTTTGATGCATCTGAGCCCCTCTCCCTGTAAAGGTGGCGCCCTTCCCTCCTCCCCCCTCCCACCTGCGGCCGATGGCTACAGGACTTTTTGGCAGTTAAAGACGTCCCTAAGGCTTTTAAAGCATAAGGACAGGCCTCTGAGATATCAAAGCGGGATCCCAACTTTCGAGTCCAAAATGTTCTTTCGAATAAAACAGTGCACCTATAGCGGCGAAGAGGCAAGGCTTTTCCCTTGCCTGAAAAGGCCCATCACACTCCGATTTGGCCGTTTCCTGGAAGAAAATCAGCTCACTCCACTGTGTGCTGCCAGTTTTGCATTAATCACACTCTACTGATTAAGTATTCCTCGTCAACTACATTCTCCACTTACCCACCCTCAGAATTTTTCAATACAGTTGTACGCAAAATTGAACTAACCCAAGCAGTGCTCAATGCTGGTCTCAAACGACCCGTTTCGTGGAAGACACTTATAGCCGATCACCCATTTGTGATCACTCGTGACTTACCGAAGATAAATGGTAAAATATCACCTTACGTGGGAGCTGTAGAAATAATGTATCACAGACGGTCAAACGCACAAGTTCTGGCCTCAGCTGACAGTCACAAAATTTCGTGAAAATCACATCGCCCTCATATTGCTGATTAAGTCGCCACGTGCCGGTTCATAAAGATAATGGACTGATCATTTCATGTCCTTTCAGGGAGAGATTTGAGCTGGCCAATTCCGAAGATCAACTCTCGCGATTGTGTTCGTAGCGTAAGCCACTCGGTCACAGAGGCTTTAGAAGATCAGGCTGTATAGGCATAATTTTGATGAGCGTTTTCAACGCACAAGCATTTGTGCATTCTTTGAGGAACCCTGATGAAATATGAAGCGTCAGGCAACAGAGGCAGCGTGCGATATTTGGCATGGTGATGGGCTAACCCAAGGGGCAAACATATATCCAAGCATAATATTTAAACTGCCTTTGATCGAATCCA